CCTCCTACTCGTCGTGCTGCGGCTGCTGCAGCAACAGCAACAACAACAACTGCAGCAACAACAACACAATTACTACTACTACTACTACTACTACTACTACTACTACTACTATTACTACTACTACTCCTACTCCTACTCCTACTCCTACTCCTACTCCTACTCCTACTCCTACTCCTACTCCTACGGCTACGGCTACGGCTACTGCTACTGCTACTGCTACTGCTACTGCTACTGCTACTGCGCGGATACAAGCCCGCTTTTCATCATTGCTTAAGATTCCTTGGTCCGTGACAGGTCCCCGTTGCTGCTGTTGTGGTAGGCCGTCGACGCAGCGTGATGGAACGCAGCGGTAACAGTCAGACCGATATCTCAGGCTCCACGAGCTGCACAGCCCTGGCTGGCCTCTCAGGGTGCCGGCCCATTCCGAGCTCGCACGCCGGACCGGCCGGACCCAGACCCAGGCAGATTCTGTCTCTTGCATCCGTGGCACAACGCAGCTTTTCTAATGCTTTTGCAGCTTGGACAGTGGCGGTTTTGGGCTCAATTCCAGCTGGTGACAATGCCGCCGGTTTTGCACGTCACCAATGTGCCTGTTGTTTGCTGCTTGGCTCAATGGATGCGACACCCTCGGCCTGACGTCTCTTTGTCGTCGGCCAAGGACGATTCCATCAACGAGGGCTTGCCTTCAAGATGGTCACGGGCTGCACAAGAGCGGCATTGCTCGTGATACTCCCACTTGGGGCACAGGGTCATTGCGAGCCTGGAGCTTCAAAGGTAGGCTTCTGGCTGTCGGTTGGCGAGATTATGCCAGCTGTTTAGAAATACGCCACCTTATCACTAAGGAACATGTAGCTGTGCTGGCATGGTCCCTTCTGGATTCTGGCGGCCTGGCGAACTGCAGGGACACACCTGGACCTAGCAGACCATTCACAGAATAGTCCGACGATAAAGCTGCTTAGACATAAGCGTGCAATTATGTCTGTAGGATGACGGAATATGAGGAGGGTGTGTGTGTTTTCTTTGGAGGCCTGGTTTGCGCCGACAGAGCCACTTGGAAGGGAATCAGTAGTCCCCTTTCGAATCAGCAGCACTCACAGCAGCGCATGGGTTCTGACGAAGTCCCTTTACGACTTTCGCAGGCTCTCCAGCACAGCTTAGACATCGACCACTTGGATGACGAAGTTAGTACTTCCCTGCCCGGTCAAGATCCAGATCCAGATGCCGAACCTTTGCTGCAAGAAGGCGTGCTAGAAGGATACATATGCCCTGGCACCTTGCTCAGAAGCAAAGTAGCGGCAAGGAGGTGTTGGCCAGCTCATAGCTTCTGAACTGATGGCTTTCTCGGCTCAAGACGCATCCTACATCTGATAACGGATGCCTCAGGCATCATTGACGCAATCCTTCTCTACTACCCGTGCCCGTAGCTTTGTCTCGCGGCGCATTCCATAGCACGGTGCTCGCATGACACCGAGTACAGGAAATTTGTTGGACGTGTTGGCAGCGCTTCCAATCTCCATTTTGGCTTTCCTCGTGGCCCGCATCATCGTGTATGGCCTCTCGGACGACATTGTCCACTACCTCAGAGCAGACCTCGTGGATGATGCCGCGACGTTTGTTGCTTGCTGCACTGGAGCGCTGGCGTGCTACAGGCCGTCTGCAACCGACGCGAATCACATCAAGTTGAGACTGCCATACTTAGCCCTGTGATCGCAGCGGTGGTGGATCTGCAAGAACATCACGGTGACGATGGTGCGAAGAGCACAGCAGTGAGCGCTCTAAGTTCTTCGGCACATCACTCTCCGATGTTGAGAGCTTGTGTGCCCGGAGCTGTGAAGACGAGGGGGCCCCGAAAAAGAGCGGAGTGTCCTACAAGCGAGCAACCTTGCAAGATCTTGCAAGTGCTGGTGATTGCTCGTCAGAGAGCCAAGGCCGAAGACAACCCTGAGCTGGCCGGTCGCTCAGAAGCGCAGCGCGGTGGGTGCGCTGGTGCGCTTTCACCTGCAGGACCCGGCACAGGACACCAGTCACCAGAAGAAGAGCCCTCGCAGCAGATTCAAGGCGGACGGAGTGCAGGTTCCAGGATGTTCCAGGCATTCTCACATTGAAAAAGAGAAGTCCGTTCGGATCCCTGTGCATTCATGGTTCTGCGCATGCTCGAGTCAACGGCAACTTGGAGGAGAGTGACAGACACTCCTGCGAGTTCTGACTGCAGGAGTTCCGAGATCACCAGATTGCCACAGGGTTGTCCATCATGTTTTTGGGCATGGTCTTTTTGGCGGCTTGGCAAAACTTGGTTCACCATCCAGGTCTGTGTCAACGCGAAGTGGATGACGTAGTCGTAAGCTAAAAATTAGCGGCAGCATGACAGTGATGGAGAGTGCTTTGCTGGCAAAGGTGGGTTTCGTGGCATGGATGATTGCCTATCCTGACAAACAAGTGAAGCACTACTGTGCTTCCCGTCAGGAATTATTGAGGAGAAGGTACAGTTACGGTGCAAGGGGAGGCCCAAGATGCAACGGAAGATAGCAGTTTGCTAGGGTTTGTTGTTTTTGACTTGCGATTGAGTGGGCTACCATCAAACTAGGGCATCTGCCACTAGGTGGGCACGAATAGTTCACGCAGTGGTCACGATATCCAAGCCGGGATTTCGCCGATTAAGGTGCGTATATGCAGCTCCACCGTGGCCCGGTCGAAGTTGTTGTGAGGAAAGCGCCCCCTGGGCCCTAGTTGTTCGCGAGTTCAGGTGGCGAGGGACCTGAAGCTTTGATTGTTCGTCGTCTCGGAAGCGGGTCGTGTAGTGCGTCAGGTCTGCACATGCCCCCTGCGTTGACAGTCTCTAGCGATTGCACAAATCCAGATACAGAAAAGGTTGTGATTTTCATGGCCATCGCCATTGATCACGCAGCGATCTTCTTCACCATAGTCGAGGCTCATCTGGCAAGGTGTGAGCAGAAGCACCACAGCAGCCCTTTCGCTCGGCCCTACTTACTAGGGCCGTTGAGAAGGCGTCGATGCATACTCAGGATGCTCTCACTGGCCTCAAGGGGTGGAAGCTGGCCGTGGCACCCTTCTTCCTCTATTGGAACCTTGCTTAGCATTGACCTTCGTGGGCAAGCCTCCGATGCAATCTTCAGTCTGCTGCTTTTCGCTTTCGTTTTAACCGGACCCTGTCAGCGCCTCACAGCACTCGGAAGAACTCCCAACAGGAGAGTTCAGAACCAGCCAGCAAGGCCACTCCGTGCGTGAGCCGGCAACCCAAAACGGCTGCAACAGAACTTGAGAGCCTCCGGCACACATGCAAGATTTTGATCCACAGCTGCTGCCCGAGTGAAGATGTTATATCACAGTTCCCATGTGCTACTCGGTACATGCTCTGGACCGTCCATTCAGGATGTTGACGATACTTGTGACTTGTCTTGTTTAACCCGTAAAGCACTGCAATCAAGAAGATCTGCCTCGCAGCTTTGCGTTTTCGACAGCACATGATTGATTGAGCACGAGGTCAGCTACCTGGTTTCTTGGCTTCATTTTCCATATACGGTAGATGTGCCAGAGGGATCGGCAGTGTTCTGAAAGGCCCGGATTCCGGTCCGAGCGGGACATGCGATTGCAAAATGTAAATTGCGATTCGAGGTGCGAAGTCAGCCCTTGAACATGGCAGCTGCCTCTTGTCTGAACTTGGCGTTTAAGTGCGACAGCTCCGTTGTGTCGCTAGCTTGTGCGGTTGTGACAGGCGGGACCTTACTCACGGCGAGAAGCGAACTTCTCAAGTCGAAAGTCGCCGTGAAACAAAGCTTCCACTCAGGCCAGGAATGTAATTTCCCACGTCTCTGCCTTCGTGGCCATTACAGGCTTTTCCGATATCCTGTGGCTGGGTTGCATTGGTTGTCATCTGCGGTGGTTGCACTTGAGTCAGCCTGCTTGGCACTACCAGGTACAAGTTCACCTCGAGCAAGGACTTCCCAAAGCAGCAGGCCTGCTTTGGAGTTTCGACGTCTCGTCGATGTCTACAGCAGCGCAGGGTTCGCGAAGTGTTCGCGGGAACCCTGACCGTTCATGTCTCCGCCGATCTCCACCGCACGTGCAGGCTATTCCATGCAGTGCCTCGGCCATATCGGCATGAACTTGCTTCTTTTTGGTTGCTGACGCAATTGGGGCGAGCTGCAGAACCTGGTGGCATGCGGCTGTTTGTTGCCAGTCTGCAAGAGCCTCTGACACTCTTGCACAGGAGCCGGAGTGTGGCTAGCTATTTGCATCGGCTTCTGTTGCTTGGTCAACTCATAGCGAGGGAGAGAGGGGAGAGAGATGGAGAGAGGGAGGGAGGTGTGCGCTGAATCATAGACCCGAATGCGACCGAGGGAGCCTTGGGCAGCTGTCTTCCGCACTTCTGTGCAGGCAGGATGTTTCGTTGGATGCCCGGTCTGCTGCATGCTCGACCCCTGAATCTGTTCACAGTGAAAACTCGGCGACTGCCAGGCTGCCGTACGGATGAACCTTGTCTGAACAGTGCGAGGGCAACGAAAGAGGCAAGCAGGAAGAGAGCCTGTGCTCCGAGGCGAGCTGCCCGCCGAAGGACACAGTGACGGCCACGCCTCTCGGCCGAGCTGGAGGTGGCTAAGTCACTGAATCACGCTTATCACGCCTACTCAAGATCCCGGAAGCTCAGTCCGAGGGCGCGGGCGGCGCTTCCGACGCAGGCGCGCCTTCCTTGGCCTTGGCGTCTCGTGACCCGGCAGTCGAGCCTCGAAGGCTTCAAGAGTGCTGCAAGCCTGCAAAGTCTCCTGTTGGCAGGGCACGGACACGACGGTCACGCAGAGGGAGATGGCGAGGACACGCCTGAGAGCGTGGCTTTGCTCAACCCGCTCCTACCCTGAGCCGAGAAAGGAGGAAGGAGATGAGTTCAGCTTTCAAAGGTTCACCTCTTCATCGAAGAGGTGGAGGAAGCCCTGGAGGAAGCAAGCCTCGTAGCTCTCAGTTGCTGGGCACGTGCAGTCGCGAGGTAGGCAGGTAGCCTACTCAAGAGGTAAATGGGAAGAAGTGTCGTGCGGCCATTCTTGGACTTGCTCGAGGTCTTGAATCTAGTGAAGACTAAATCTGCCGGTCGACGTTCAATAAAATGCCTTTCCTGTAGATTCTCATGGGCAGAGGTTACCTGTTCGTGAAGTTCTTGGTGACGAAAACTCTCCTAGAAGTCTGGGACTTGCATCTTATCTGCAAAAGGGACGGTCGATCCTCAAAAGTACATCGACGGATCATGATGTTAAGCTTTGCCGGCCCTGTCAGGAAACATCTGCAAAACACGTATGCGTCCCGGCACAGACTGAGCTGCCCACCCCTGCCGCGCAATTGTGCATCCGGGAATGTGCAGGAGTTCCGGTGCACTAGTGAGGGCATAAGCTCCAAGATCTGCTCAGGAGGCACGTGAAACTCATTGGAACTTGAGTAACGACACCGTCATCGAGGTGCTGTTGGTCATGGCTTCCTGGCACAACAGCATGGGTTTCTTGCAGTCATCCTGTTCACAGCGTCAAGTTTCTTCTTACTGCATGTGATTCGTCTGCAGAGCAAACATGTCTCAGGCTCTTGAGGTACTGATCTTGAATGTCTGCATCGTCTTTCTTGACCGCGTCAGCTCCGGAAGCTTTGCTGCACCTGCCGTACATTCGTTCCCCGGTGTCGCTGTGTCGCCCGAAGGGGATTCGCAATTAAGAAGACTACTTGCAGTTACAGAAACACAGAGAAAGAGAGGGACAACCTCCCCCTCCAAACGCCCTGCAAGCAAGCAAGCAAGCAAGCAAGCAAGCAAGAGACAGGGTGGGGGGTCACCACAGGACACCGCCCTTGCCTCGTCTCAGTATGTACAGTAATGTAGTCTCTCTCCAAACACGAAGATCAGAGTGCGGGAGCAGTGCGGGCTGCTGTGTGCAAGAAGCACCCTTACAGCACTCGCTTTTTTTCAACACGACGAATCCATGGACTAGCATGACGGCTGACTAGCCTGAACGGGACGTGAGCGCTTAAACAACAAACCACTCTGGCTGCAGACGAGTTACCATTTCCCGGATCCAAGATCTGCGGGGGGTCAGTCTTCAAGCCCAAGCACTGTGGAGAAAAGTGCTCCGTTTCGAAGCTTGCCAGTTTAAGTACACAACCTTGCAGATTCTTGGAGCGGTGTCGTGCAGGGGCACACCCAAGCTGGGCTACTCACGGGGAACTACAGTCCCAACTCAGACGCGGTTTCGGGGAGCTGACCCGATGTGTTTTGAAACAGGGGTGGCAACTAGTGCATGCTGACTGTTACAGACCTCAGAGTTCAACTTCGGCGGGAACAACACCCTGGGACCGGCGCAACATGCTTGCGGACAGCCGACTGCTGGACCAGGTGACCCTGGAATGAACTTCGGCAAGTGAGGAGGTAGGAGCAAGCGGACGCCGGGCGGACAAAGCCCCCTCAGGCACGGGAGGGGCCACGCCCTTGCGCTAAGCCGCTAAGCCTGAAGCAAGCTCGGGATCTTGTCCGGAACCGGAACCCACTTGAGACAGGAGCCGAAAAACTTAATTCCGAAACCACGCTCGCCATCGCTGGTTCCTGCCAAGGGGGTCGAGGAGGGGACATACAGGAAGCCAAAGCAGCTTGCAGAGGGACTCCGGGACCGACTACGGCACGGTGCCGGTGTGAGAGACAACATGCTTCAATATGCAAATGAAAGCGAGTACGTGCTGGTGAGGGGCCTTCATGTCCTTAAGTGCCGCCGGGAGACACTACAAGAGCTTGTGGCATTGGTGGCCAAAGAGTACGAGGACGAAGCATGGTGGGCACGGACGTAGAGCTGTGAAAGTTATCGAGAACTACGGCTGTGACCAGTAGGATTGAGAGAAGTTTTGGGTTTGACAGTGTTCTGTTCCCTGTTGAGGGATACGATGCGAGTTGTGAGCTGCAGTGCGAGGATGAAAAGATTGTACAGGCTTACAGAAGTTAGGCTCAGAAGAGCCATTGCGGGTTCACTCTGGTCTGGGTTTTAGAACTAATTCTATGAAAAACTTGTGAAGAATGCGTGTTTGTGGAGAGTAAAGAGAGACTGAAGTGGTCGGTGGGTGTTTTAGGATTGATAAAGATCTGTGTTTATTGTTCGATCCATCGGCGAGAAAGAGGGAACAATGAGCGAGCAATCAGCGATTGATTTTTGAGAAAACAGTGAGTAATGCGAGATTAGTGTTTGCAGAGTGCATGGGCGGGGCCGCACCCTTGCCCAGAGTCACTCTTTTTGTTCATTCATTGTTCGCTTATGTTTCACTCTTGTGTTTATTTGTTTTTCCGTTCACTCGTTGTTCATTCTTTGTTCACTCTTTTTGCCCTCTTCGCGCCCGGCCCCGGCAGTCACCACGAATCGGTCGTAGTGTAGGCTAGACGCAAAAAAATCACAGGTCCACCGCAGATCCGTTTGCCAACAAGACAAAGATTCCTGTGCCGCAAAATCCACAATAAGAAAAAGCGCAAAGAATCAAATACACATCTCAGAAAGCACACGAGTTCTGGAAGCGCAGAATCTGCAATCACAGTAAAGCACAGATTCCAAACAACACACACACAGACGCACAAGCAAAACACGAGAAGCGTGGCACCACTGCTTGAGGTACTTCCACTTCTCCGACGGAATGAGATTCCAAAACAAGGAGGGCAAAGCTCGCTCAAAACAGTAGCCGAACTCGAGGAGCCTCATCTCCGCGCTGTCCTTCAATCCCAAACGAAGTGACAGTGCGCGGCAACCTGCCGGGGGTGCTGGAGTTTCTGTGCCCTATCGCCTGTGAAGACACACAATGAACAAGACTTCGGTGCAGGACTCTCCCTCGTCACAGTTTTTTCGAGCACCTCCTAAATCCCCAGGTGGAAGGCGTTGACATACCCCTTCCGAAAGAGAGATTTCCTGTCTTGCACCTGAGGATGAACTCTGCAAGTTCGATGTGACCTGTGTCGACGGGTGTTCTGCAACACCTCTACTCTACTCCAATGACATTCCGCACTTTTACCTGTTGGAAGCCTCTCTAAGACTCCAAGGGAGCCGATCTCAGACTTGAACTCCGCAAGATGTTCCAGTAGTCCATGCAATCAGGGTATTTGCGTTCAAAACTTTTATCAGGAAAAAGAAATTCAGATTCGCACCGACGCTGCTGTTCCCTTTAGGTTTCGCACGGAATAGACAGAGCACACAATATCCGAAAATTACATGTTCGGCGTCCGTCGAGGCTTCGATAGCTTTCACCTCCGTATTGCCTGTGTGTGTGGTTTACTCGTGTGAATCAAAAGCTAGTAGTAAAACTTCAAAACGACTACCTGGCAGGCTTGCACCGCTTTCACACTCTCGCGACATTCCTGTCGATGTGCCACTTGGCATTGTCCACGGTTGCCCGAAGAGCTGCCTTTTCATCAGAGTCGCCCCTTCTGAGTCTGAGTGTGCTTGAGGCATGGCCTGGTCTTCCATGCGGTTCGTCCGCTGCGTGATCATGATACCAATCTCGGAAGATCCTTGTCAGGAAACAGTGCTCCCCTGACCTATGCTACCTATGGCTCTTCCTTGCAAGTTGACAGAGCTGTTATTTCGGGGTTGGCGGGTCAAGAACCTTCGAGCAGAAAGTGCTGCCACACGACTTTGGGTCACACAATGTGCTGGTCGCGACCTGGGCTGCGGGTCAGACAGGATGCGGCTTGGGACGTTTGCACGTTAAGGGTCTGCACTGCATTGAGGCAAGCATGTGTGTGCTTCACTGACAGCCTATGCTTTATATGGTGACAACTCATTTTCATGACGACGAAGCCAAACTACAACAAGACAAAGGCTTGGAAGTTGGGAGGTCTTGACTGAGGGCGTCTAGCCGAGTCTAGCTTTGATGGCGCTTGGGCCACGAGCGGCAGAAGACTGGCTGACACGATCAGAGTCCTTCTCAGTGCTGGGAAACCATTCCTCAGTTACTAGCTTGTTTCTTTGAGTTCTGGCTCCGCCCAGGTCGGGCAGCCAATATGTTAAAAGGTTAAACTGCAGAGCAGTAGCTCAGCAGGGTGTCAAAACTTGTCTTGCTGCATGAGATTCTGGTCCTTGATTGGCGCCAAGGACAACTGCATTCTAATTCTCACTGCGTTCGCCATGACGCCCATGGCAGGGCTGCAGCTCAGCCAGCATTTGTGTTCGTCTTGATGGCAGTGGCGGCAAAACGGAGTTAAGCAACTGAGGTTGGTGATTGCTGCTGACGGGATGGCAGACACAGGCGCATTGGCACGTGACCAGGTCGGGAGTTCAGGGACGGACTCCCTGCTCCAGGTGTCATATCGGAACCTTTGGCAGACAGTTTGGTGACGTGCTGGCCTTGGAAATTGCCAGTGGCGCGAAGACACTTTGCACAAATGGCCGCCAAGGAGCTATGGTTTTATGATCGGCTTCTCCTGGGAAAAGGCTTTCGCAAGTGCGTCCAATCTACTGCTCCCTGATGCAAAGCCAGCGGGTGATCAGTGCATACCTCGATCAGTGGGATGCCGGGATGCTCATACAAGGATTGGAGAATACGTGGAAGGCGGCAGCAGCGGGCTTACGGCAATAAGAGCTCGGTTGTCTGCAGAATCAATGCTGCAGCGAGCTCCATCCGTGCATTCATATTGCGAGTAAGTGCAGTATTGTTTGCAGGTCATTCCTGCATCACGTTACTCGAGATCGTATGCAACAACTTCAGCTAGCTGCTGGCTAGACACAATCCATGTATTATACAATTGTCAACAGTCGGTGAGCATGCCGCTCGGCATGAATCGTCATTTTCGAACACTCTGCCGTGCATGCACAACTGAAAAGACATGGATTGCGCGTTGCAACAAACACAACAACCCCCCCCGGTCTGCCTGTCTGCTGGAATCGCGACACAACCCCGCGGGCGACCAGCTCAACATGTTTAGGATGAGGGCTTGGGCGGGCGATGCTATTGTGAGGGAAGAGCTTTCGCAAGATGGGCAGGCCCAAGCGGCTGCTCCCGCAAGGGCACATCAGCCACGCACTGCGAAATTCAAGCCTTTGCTTTGGGGCCACCGCTGAAGGTTCCACCGTGAGGCCGCACGGCCCATACGAGTTCTGGACCGGCATTGCCGTGTGCGCAGCTCTCGCCACTGGATGTGCAATAACACCGCAAGAGAGTGTTGATGTCTGGGCTGGCGCAGTACATGTGAGAAATGTGTTGCAGGCGCTGCTTCCGGCAATTCGCTTTTCCCATGCCGCGCAAGTAGCATCAAGTAGCTGCATGGCTAAGGTCGTTGTCATGCTGCCCGGATGGCGTTTCCTGATCCTCCCCAGTGCGCTGAAACCGCTTCCTCCCCGAACGGAGCTCGGGAAAGAGAGCTGAGATGTTTGGCTAGCGGCCAGCTTCTTGTTTACTTCTGTCTTCACGACGGCCTCGGAGGTAGGAGTAAAGGAGAATGGTCTTGGTAGGGAGGAATTGAACAAATTGAACAGGTGCCAGCATTCGTAGAATACGAATGAGGCCATCTCAGAAGTACCGGCGTCCTGTAGCAGCTAAAGTGCAGGCAAGCAGCCTGATCACAGATGTACAAGAGAGCCAATGCATTCGTGCAAAATCGTTCGTCTCAACCGCCCAGACCTCCACTTCCGGCGTGGTTGTGAGTGACCGCGTGTGCTTTCAAGCCGGAGGCGCTCGCTCGTAGCCCGGCGTCATCTGGAAGGCCAGGCCCTTGCGGCCCTTGCGAGCGGTATTTGTCAGCGCGCTGGCCGTCAGGCTCGCTGGCGGCAATTCCAGGTCCTGCAGCCAAGAAGGCAGTGAGGTCGAGACCTCAGCTTTGCTGCTGTCGCCCGTGCAGCTGGCTACTTGCAGCAGCCTCTTGCAGGACCCTGACAGTCAGGTGGACAAAAGTGCACGTCTCAGAAGCCGAAGCATGGTATGACGATGGCGACACCACGCGACACAGTGTGAATCCTTGGGTGCTTCGGCCTCGAGGTTGTCCTCCTGCTCGTTGTGCAGTACCGATTGGTACCTCGCGTTGGCACCTCAAAGCTGGAGATTCAAACAGACAGTCGGTGAGACGGCTTCTCACTGGCTCAGGTTTGCGCTGCTGTGCGGCCGCCCTAGAAACTCTGACAACGTTGGAGAAGGGGGCTCCATGCTGGATTGAAGGTGCCCTAGTCTAGTGATAGTGCAGTGCACAGAGCACTTGATGTTGCGGCTATTGCCGCTGTAGCGGAGGCCCATCTGCAGTAGTGCAACCCGCTCATGGATCAATATAAACCGAATCAAACCGCAAAGCTTGACATTATCAAGCTGCGCACTGAAGAAGTGGAGCTGGGCACAACGACCGAGAACTGAAATTTAGACTTGGCCAAAAATTCCGCGAAGATCCCCGAAGCCTAAATGCTGAATGCGTCCCGCGCTTCTCTAAGTGGGGACACAGTCGTTGTGAAACCTTACCTGCATTGCGCGAGTGCGAAAGTCTAAATGCTCAACGGCACCATGGCCTAAGGCGCCGTCTCTGGAGACATCTGTCCGCAAAGAAGCTCAAGCCCGACACCCAAAATTCTCTGATTTGCATGGCAATGACGTCCTTTGCAAATCAGCTGGCGACCTTTGCTGCACGGCCAAGGCTGCTTTCGGCTGATGAAATTTATTCTTTAAAGGCACCTGCAGCAGTGCATCCTGATATCACGTGACAGAGAGCCCGGGGGCTGTTGGCAGGAAGCTTTGGAGGAAGGCCCTGTCCTTCAAAGCGATCTGGAGTTGGAGAGTGCAAAGATCCTGGAAGGAACCAAGGTTGGCCGTGCAGTTTGGCTTTCTGAGTGTCAGCATAGAAGGCCGCATATAAGAGCCGTGGAAATCCTGTGCTCCGAGGTCCTGAACTCCTGGAAGGACCCCTTGGGCCCTTGCAGCCACCGTCAGAGGGATGAACTCGGACTCCAGTCCAGGAGATCCAAGGAGCTGAGCCGCCCTTGACGGTGAGAACTCGGCCACCGCCTGACAAATCTGAAAGGCGAGAAGCCGAGAGGATTGATAAGAAGGAGGATCATGGAGGATCCATTTAGGTATCATTCGGGGCAAAGATGGGGCCCGGGGCAGAAGTGCCGTGCGAGGCGTGGCTGGATGTCTTCACGGCAATGGAAGCATTGGTGCCTTGTCAAGTTTCGGCACAGTTTTGCGTGTGCTTATGTCGGTATCGATAGAGTTTGGAGCGCGTTTCCACAATCCCGATTCCGGAGTCTCGACTTGCCCGAAGAAGGGCTCTAGTCGTCAATACTTATTGTTCTGGCAGGAGCCAGAACAACTCAAACGGCCCGTGTGATTTGCACTTGATGCAGAGGGGGGATAATTTATCACCTCTGACCATCTCTGACCATGAGTAGCTCTTGCGACGAACGTAGCATCTCGCGTGAAAGTGCGCAGGAAGCGCATCTGGGACATATCACTCGAAGTCCTACGAAGAGCTCAAGGCAGGGAGTGTTTTCCAATATGATCCAAAATCTGCAGCAGCTCTACAACCCCTGCCAAGTCTGTGCCATTTGAACAACATCGATGGGGGACAGGTCCGCTGTTGATGTGGGGCTGGCAGCGAGCTTACCTACACAATCGACACACTCTTTCTCATTTCCTTTTGCTCCCAGGTCGACCCTTGCCCTTCAAGCGCTGCAAGACCCTCTCCTTGACATGTGGTCCGCTCCTGAGACACCGACGGGATCGTGCGGATTCATGTGGACTAACTCCTACTGATTGTGCCAGACTGATCACCTGAATCGTGTCTTTCTTTGCCACAAACACTGGCTGGAGAGAGAGACTGTCATCCATTCAACATGAAAGAATAATTAGCTGGAGTATCTAACATCACCTTCTTCGCGACTCGCTGAGCCATCAGGAGGCAAAAAATGTCCTACTGTACCTGCCCTGCTCTGCATGGTGCGTCAGCGGCACTTATCGTCCAGTGAAGCTTCACATGGTAAGGTCCAGGCGAGAGTTTGCCTTTTATCGGGCGGCCTTTGGGAAGCCTGAAGCTCAGTGAAGCTCAGAGGCTTAGCGCGCGGATCGACGGCTTGCCCGGCAAAGCTAAGCTGTGCAGTGAGATGCGGCAGTCAGCAGCCGTCCATGCATCGGTCAAATGCCAGGCTGCAGGTCATCCCCAGCTGGACGGCTGTTGCATGGTCTTGCTCTCAGATCATGGAGGCGTCCCTGCATCACTGCCGGCTGCGTCCTGAGAGCAGGTTCTCACACCGCTTAGTTCGCCTGTTCGGGGCTGAGAACTGCGAGCAAGCAAGTTTTCAACTTACCCCCCCTCGTCGGCAGTCGGATTGTCGTTGCGTGCATCCACCCGCCAATGGTTGGCTGCTGCATCCAAAATCGAGCAGCGATGGAGCAGTCGTTAGGTGTGCACAAGAGGCAGGTTGACAGGGCAGGGAGCGGGAAGGTATAGCATGTTCAGTGAAGCAGGGTGATTTTGTGTGCCAGCCTGAACGAATGCCTGCACAGCCAATTGCACATATGCATTGGCACCATCCACTTCGTGTTGTCCCACTTTCATTGGGTTCTCGACTTGAACCTGCTTGAGCCTGCTACAGACGTTCGTACCGAGGTGGGGGAACCGCCGCTCCCGGGGTAGAGCGGAACTTAGCGACGTGATGGGTGTACAGCAGCAGCCCAAGCCATGAAAGGGCTGAGAGGAGCAATGCGCCGTGATGTCAGAGATTGAAGGAGAGCAAAGCTGCCGCTTTTGCTTGCAGGTCGAGCCTGCAGGAAGCTCGTATCAATGCGATGGCGACTGCATTGAAGGCCCTGCTTTGGCGCAGCTCTATGAGCAACGAGCTCGCCCTTTGCAATGCAGGTTCTTGTGTGGAGCATTTACATTTGCGCTGTGCCCGGCCCCTGGCCGCCGTCTCTGCGATTTAACTCTCCCATGCCACTGCCGCTGAAGGCTTTACCATGCTGGTGTACGGATTGGTCGATTGCTGCTGTGGGGCCCTATGGAGTTGCAGTATTTTGCAGTATTTTGAATCGATGCATTTGCTTTTGACAGGATTCCGGGAACCACGGCAGTGGTGATCGGCTGGGCACTCAGCCTGTAGTGCCACCATTCCCCATGGATCCCCGCATCACCCACATGCCCACGTTACCGCTGCGATTACGGGGTAAACATCATCCCGTCGCCGACTATGTGCAGACTGTCATGGCTGCATCTGCCTAGTGGCGATAGGGGAAGCCCGCCAATTCGCTCTACCAGTTCGAAATCTGGGTTGGGTCTTGCATGGCCTTGCGAACCGCCGAAATCTTGTTGTTCGGCCGGTGTGGTGCTCTTGCCAAGGGTGGGTTGGCCGCGAGATCGTCGCCAACATGATTCTCGGCTTGTTGTAGTGGGTTGCACGCTGTCAACCTTCGAGAAGATTTGGGCAAACGCCTCTGCACAATCTGCTGCATGTGCACACCGAGGATCAGTGGCGTTGTGCTACACTTGACACAGCCTTTTGCACAAGGTTGCACAAGTGATTTGTGCTTCTGAAAGTGACACATTGTGCATGCCCATGCTTTCTTGCATGCATCCAGATACATCCTCGTTTCCCCGAGAATAACGGTTCTCCTGCATTGTGCAGGCGATTGGGTGTGTTTGGATGGTACATCCATCGAACCCTTGGCATGAGTTGGTTGGAGTGCATCATGTTTCCGGTGGGCTTGGCGATGCTGTCGAGGGGAATCTCCTGTGGCAGGACGGATGGGTCCAAGACGTGGGAAGTTTCTACACCAAGGTCCAGCCGCTTGCAGAAGACAGTTGTTGTTTGCGTGACTGAACGCTTGGACGCGTGCCAGGTGGTTCAGTGGGACAAGCGTCCCATCTATGTACCAAATTATAAGCTGATGCCCCTTGCCTCGATAACAGATGCTCGCCCCTGCCAGTCGAAGCTGTTCACTTTTTGTTTCCAGCCAAGGTCCATGAATGTGCAGAACAACTCCCGAATGACGCATCGCCGAATCAAGTACGACCTAAACCTCAGGCCAGGTTTGACCGAGAGTCGAAACAGGCCAGGCCAGGCAACTTGCCATGCGCATGCCACAGACTTTGGACAGGCTCCGTGACATCCCGAACATCCCCCAGATCGTTCGCGACATGCAGGAGATGCGGCAGTGCCCCTTTCCTTTCACTGCTGGCTTGTGATATCCTGTTAGGAGATGATCAATGAGCACGAAGACATTGACAACATCCAGCCCGGGACTTGCTAGGGTGGTTCAGCATGCGGCACGAAGACATGAAGAAGCAGAGGCATCGCTTGGTACGTTGGCGCGGATTGGGCGAGTACTCTGCCAGAGCCTTTTGAAACTGAGCTGAAGGATGCTGAAGGCTAGTGCCATGATGCAAGATCCAAGAACTTGTTCCCAGGCGACCATCTGGCTTTCTTGCTACACGAAGCCCAGCATCGAGGCAGCCTGCCGGAAGTTTGAGTTTGCTAGTGCAGCTTGGGCAGAATGCAGGGCATTCGACTGGCGTCTTACACTGCGATCCAGCAGTCCGTGCCGTCCCTGCTGAGCATCAGCAATCCTGACCGATGGGACATCATTTTCACCCATGCTGGGCACTGTGCTGGCACTCCAGGTTCTTGAGCGGTGTTCACAGATTGTTTACAAGTTGCAGACTCAGAGATACTTCGCACTAACTTGAAAAGCATGATGGCTGCGTCCATTGTTTTGCTCCTTGTGCGAGGCATGATGCTGCTTTTGCCTCCATAACAGATCGCAGCTTGACTGCATTTGCGGAACCACACTAGGTCTTGCATGGTTTGACGTGAGAAGCCGATAGCCAATCGTATGCCAGGAAATCCCCAAGCTGGAGGCCAGGCACATGTTCGCTTGTACAGATTGAATGAAGAAGAGGCAACCAGGAAGCACATCGATGCAGGCACCAGGGCTGTGCCCTTCGGTCAGATATTCTCCGACAGCGCCTTATTTCCGAGTCATTAAAGCCGCCTGGAGTTGAGTCAGTCGAGTCTGCTTAGAGATTCCCAGCTCAAGGAGCCTTTCAGCAGTGCTCGTGAATCGCAGCTCGAGTCCCGCGAGGAGGCCGCCAGAATGCACCCGTTTAGGTGTAGGATGTTTGGCATAGTTGAGGTATACATTCCCTCACAGGCCTCATATAAGGCAAAATCCCAGCATGTTGCTATAGTTCTGGAAGTTCTGGCTGCCAGAAAATCCACCACCCACGTTGCTGAAGATATCGCCGCATGCCGCTTGTGACGTGGGACAGGTTTTGCGGCAACGGGAGAAAGACATCAAGCAGAGTTGCCCTGAGTTTTTGTTGGTGCCTTCTTTTCCGGGCCAAGCGAAGCCAGATTGGTATAGACGGTTACTTGAATTGAGAGACCTCACCTGTTGACGATAAGGCGCGAGAGAGAGCTGAGTCAGCAGCAGGAGGCTTCTGCAATGCTGCCACAACGATCTTTGAGATCGTTTCGAGTTTCGAGTTGGCTGCAGGAACAGGACAAAGCCGCCAAAGATATTCAGCACGCAAAGGAGAAACAGAAGCAGTTGCTGGAGCAGGCACGCAGGGCGATGCAGGGCGTGCTGCGTTCAGTAAAAAGACTGGAAAGCGGACATGACTGGCAGGTAATCCAGAAAAGCATGGATGTGCGGACTGGCCAGGCCAGACATTTCCAGTTGCAAGCAGTTCGCACACTGGCGTCGCGAGGGTCCACAGCATTTGTCACACAGGCTCTTCCGGAAGATGTTGATCCGATGGCCCATGCCTTGCGTGCTGCAGGAGCTGACCCACCCACCGTAAAGCTCGTGGTCAGGTCTATGGAGCCGCGGCACAGTGGGACAAGGCCGCTGAAGAGGAGATGCTGCTTGCTCAGATTCCGTGCGCTCAGGCATCAGATGACATGGCACGAATATTTTTCTGTGGCACTCTCGAGGCCTGACACTGGCAGCTTTGCATGCGTTTGGGTAATTCAGGCTTGACTATTCGCCTGGAGATCACGACAGAGACGTGCCTGCCCAAGTGAAGTTGCCAACCTACCAGGGCCAGTTCGGTGCCTCCTCAATAATGGACATGGGCCATGTGCAGTTTTCGCCCGGCAGCAAGAGACGATGGAGAGTTTTTGGGGAGAGGCCACGATGCCCCTGAAACAAAAGGGGGCTATGCATAGGACTAGGACCTGGGACGCGAAGACAACCCGTGTGTTGCAATTCAAGTTTGAGACCCAGACAGGTCATCGAAAGCCAGCACAAAGAACTAGCCGACGCAGAGGCAAAACTGCTAGACTTGGGCAGCTGTAGAATTCAGAAGCCGCGCCGATATGAATGGTGCTGGGCAATGCCGGCAATGCTTGACACACGATGCAGGTGCAACGCGACAGCATGGAGGTCAGATCCCGAGTGAAAGCAGATCGACAAGCAAGCTTTCCGTTGTCAAAGATCTGCAAGGCAGAAGGTGAGCACCGCACGCTCTCAGATGCGCTGGAGGCAGCAGAGGCGCGGAGTCTCGATAACACCACAGTCTCGGGGCTCGAGCATATCAGACGAGCGTTCAAAGTCTTACTGTACCCTGAAGACCGGCTCCGACAACTTTGTGGTTCGTGGGGGGAGTCCAGTCACGATGCCCGTGGAATAATACATCTGAGTGCATTGATACCATGCGAAGCCGACGCGACTGATCCTGCTCAACTCCCAAGCCCACATGTCGTTCTCGAGAAGCAAGTTCCCAACATGTCAAGTACCAGCTGTGACGGTGACAGAACATGTGGTCATGTCATGGCGCGGGCCCTAAGTACTTCTTGCCTGGAGCTACTCGTCGACAAAGCACTGGCCAAGCCGAATGCTGGCCGAAAACACCGAACGACCAAAACGAATGCTTGAACACCTCGCGGAGATATCCGTGCCGAGAATGGACTAGCGAACCTCAATGCAAGGCAGACGCCCTTCAAACGGGTCTTGGGATTTTGGGGGGTTGCACCACATGGAGTAGACAAGGCGTGTGTGCAGTAAGAGAAAGCCCCCAAAGTCATTAATGAACTCCAGTCTATCAGCAAATGCCTTTCGTTCTTGACCAATGGTATGAAACGACGAGGCATTGTCGCAAGTTTGAAGACTTGACAGGCACTGCGTATTTTATTGATATCTGAAATTCCTTGGTGGTGGCGTGTGCTTCACATCACCAGGCCGCCTCTATCACATTGACGTGATCATGTTACCTTCAGACTAACTACTGTACGGGTGCAAACTACCAGACCCGGACCGTTCCGAATTTTGCATTCTGGTCATGCATCCGCAGAGACACCCTAAACCCACCTCTATGTAGCTGTCTCTAGCTTGAGGTGGAACTCCGAGCCGTGGAGGTTCCGGATTTCGGTCAGCTGTTGTGCTTTGCAGAACCCTGGGTGATTACCTCGAACGAAGGAGGCGGCACAACAGAAGGACGAGCAGCAAGAAGAAGGTTGGGCACGCACTTATGTGCAGGGCTCACATTTCGCTGTCAGAGATTCGGGCGACCGGGAGAATCTTCGGGGTCAACACGGAACGATGTGGACGCATCCATGATCGGCATCCATCTGCCTGTTGCCTGCAGGAGCCGCAGACCATGCCTCTGCCTCAGCTGTCCAGAGACCTGAAAACCGAAAGCAAAATTAGCAAAGTGACACCACGGGACCTCAGAGCGAGCCGATTGGAAGTGAAGGGGGGGTTGCACCTGAACCACCTCAGGAAGAGGCGGGCAGAAAGAAAGAAAGAAGTCTGATGAGGGATTGCTATTTAGGCTCTAGCTCCTGGAACGAGTCAGCTGTCCTGGCGTGACGTTGCAAGCCAGTTGCAAAAGTCTCTAGTCGTAGCTCCTTCTCTGGTTGGATTCTGCAAGTCGTCATCCCGCTTTGCTTAAGGCATCCACCAAGGCAGCCCACTTTGCCGGACAGTCCTCGCAATGCCCTGTGGAACGAGAAGATCTCCCTGTCCACGAGACCACGCAGGTCGTAGAAGCGGAGCAGCACGTTGGGGAAGGAACGCGACAGAGGCGAGGACATCCACATTGGAACAAGCAAAGAGGGTAGGGCGGCGCGAAAGCGACTTTGCTTTCGAGCTGTGCATGCTTTGCCGGAGTAGCAGAACGAGACTAATGACCAGAGCGAGAGCCCAATCCACATGCAGAATTATAGAGTTTTTATAGTTTTTTTTTTTTTTTTTTT